ATATTTTTGTTTGTTCCATTTGTCGGCCACCCTTTATTTTATGTTTACATGGTGTTCTTTAGTTTTGTTTTGTTTTGTCTTCGACACCAGGGGGCGGGCATGTTGCCGACAGATACGGAACTTTTTACACTTTTTTATTCTTAATTGTTATTTTTGAATTCAGAACTGTATGTTTTTTCTTCCTTTTTCTTTATTTTTAAAACGTTCAGTTGTTGTAAATATATTCTTGTAACAGTGCGTGCTTTTCTCCTTTCTCTAATAATTCTATTTAATATTTTCATTTTATCTTTTTATTATATAACATAATATTCCAAAATTCATCTTAATCCTAACGCTCTTCCATTCTTACATATTCGGTCGTCTTTATGAGTATTGCTGCCGTTGTTTAAATTTTCAGTATGCATAATTTCCGTTGTATAACATATTTTTTTCTCCCTAAGGTATATATTTAAAGCTTCTCTATACATAACGTTTTGACGGCTCATTATATCCCGAATCTTTTTTTCTTTAAGGAATATTGGGCAAGATTTATCAAGTGCCATGTGGGCACCTTTGCAGTTAACACATGTATATTCCACTGTTGAACAATTTTCATGTTTGTCTCCACATTTTGGGCATATAATTTTGTTGTTTGGGCAGAATTTTACCTGGTGTCCAAATTTCCAACAACCAGAACATTGTGTTACAGGGAAGTGAAAAGTGTCAACCTTGAACCTACATCCATATCCATAAACGTATGGTGGTAATTTATCACTTTTGAAGACCACCTTAAAAGTCTCGCTGTCTATCCATTTTCCATTTGAATCTAATCTCTTAAGTCTTTTCATAGAAATAATTTCACAAGACGCTGTAAGATTTTCTAAAATTTCTTTCTCTTCAATTCCTAAATCAATGCCCTTTATCACACCATAACATATATTTGACTCACTAGTCAGGCGGCAGCTACCGCCTAATTCCGATATTTGTTTACACGTAATCAGTGACTCAGCGTCTTTCTTATTTGTGAATTTAATCAAAACTTTATATGGGCTTTTATATCGTATTTGTAAAATATTCTGGATATTATTAGACTTAAGAAGTTTAGCCATCGCTATTTGTTTAGGCAGACATTGTAAGGATGAGATACAAACCTCATAATACTCCTCAGTTAGTACGGTAATTGGTGTAGTTGGACTAATTTCTATGTTAACATTGTCTGCAGTCTCCCTCTTCCGATTTTTATTTTTTCTCTTAGATACCGTCACAAAACCGTCTGCACTATTATCTGCACTGGAATCACTATGTTTTCTCTTCTCTGTTGACATATTTTCAGCTTGACCTACTTCCATCGGGATTACACTAGAATTATGCTGCTTGATAATCTCATTAAGTTCATCATCATCTTCATCACACTCACTCATTTATACGTAAATATATAAAAAAAAAATTAAAAGGGTACTTGTTAAATTGATTCGCTGGACGTGCTAACAAAGCAAGGTCTCGCGCGCGTATGAAATTGTTAAAGTTAATGCACGATACTACTGTAAATCTTTGTATGTATTTATTACAAAGATAAGCTACTATTTTATTTATTATAACACTTGTAATTGGCGTAAATAACACCTCATTAAAATATCAGATTGTGCTGGAAATAAAGTACGAATTTAGCAAATAAATCTACGAGATGCAAATCAAAAAGGGGAATCTTTATTTAAAAGGTTCGTAGACTGCCGCGGTAACTGATATGTGTTCATTTGTCACACGAAACCGAGTCTGTGGCTTGTGGGGATTTCTTCTCTATCAAGATAAACCCAATTTACTGACATCAGAGTTTTACAAAGACAGCGTATGTCTAAAAAGTTTATAATCATTTTCATTGTCATTAAACAAAGTATGGCAGTAATTATTAAACGTAGCAAAGTTAATTAACATTTAAATATCTTGTCTTATTACTCGTTTTTTATTTACATTTGCATCAGGACATAATAACTAAGTTAATTTATAATTCGTAACATAGACGTGCACGAAAATTATACAGTGTAGGCAAAAGTTGAACTATCAAGTTATGAAACAAATTAATTATGATTATATACCAAAAATTTTGAGTTTGGCAACTACTGATAGAATTAAAATACTATAAAAAAGATGTTATTATACACAAATTGTTTTGAAATTACATTTTAAATTAACTAGTAATTTTAATAATAAATTCGAATGTATAGATGGATGGATGGATGTTTGTTTGAATTTATCTCCAGAACGACTCAACGAATCTTCATGAAGTTTGGCACAGTTGTAGAACATAGTCTGGAAGAATACACAGGAATTAAGTTTTTTTTTTTTAAATCCGAAAGCTAGTTATTTATAAAATGCAATGATGATTCTTCACTATAATAAATTCAGGAAGAATACATATCTATATTAAAAACCGGTCTAGTTTGAACAGCTTTGAATCGATTATATTCGATAAAACATTAATCTCTTGTTAGTCGGAAAAATCTACATTTTTGCGTAAAATGTTTTGCTGTAAACCATTGTAAGATATGGCTATAAAGGGACATTTCATAGCGGCTTATCTGATATCTCAGTGGACGACAATGTCCAATAAAGTAGACTATCTGATGCAACTTATCATTTCAGAATCTGTTCCATGTTTGGAAATGTACGCGGGAAAGTATCGTTTGTCCTACATTATAAATACTGATATCTCTATTCTATAATTATTTTTTTTTGTATTGTCCTTTACTGAATAAAAATGTATCCTTATTTATTTCTTTTAAATAAGTTTAAGTTATAAAATGAGAGATTTTCTCAAAGTAAACATATAGGTTAGAACTTAAAAACAATTCAAAATAGAAAACCAAAACAGCGTATTACTATCGATTTTTTTTTGTTTTTTTGTTACTGAGTAGTCACTGTTTGCCTTGAGGAGGCATTTACAGTTTCACCGGGCTTGAGGTGGCCGAGCGCAGATGGCGCTTAGCCTGAACCTCGTTTATGAGTAACAAGACTCGAGGGCTCCCTCAGGAGCCTCGGCTCGGGCTGTTACTTCATTATAGTTACCGGGTTGGGGTTTCTATCGACTACTATACGAACAGATAACAAATTATATTAATTTTAGAGTATAAGTATTACACCATATCTTAGATAATCTATAACCCATTAATAAAACTGACATAATTACATCTATTAAACTTAATTCGTATCATTATTTGATCATAGACAATCGCACAGAAGGTGTTCTTAAGACCACAATGTACAATTATAAAATATTCAGTATCCATTCGGTGTAATTAATCTCGTAGAGACGCTATCAGAAATCTGAAGCTATTGAACACGTTGTGACGTCTTTATTAAATTGTCTTGAGATATTTACGAGCGAGACCGGAGAGTTTTACTTAGCAATTAAGGCCACACAGCCCGCGCATAAATATCAACGACGAAAAAGTATCGATTGTTTTGACAAAACTTCGAAAATAAATCAAAGAAAGTCCAAAGTACAACTATCAGAATAATAATATTTTACATATCGTTTTGTTTTTTTGCTGTCGTGTATTTTCGCTACGTTCAGTGACGCATAATACAAAAGATATAGTCAAACAAGAGTCTTTCAGAGTGGTAGAACCCGCTTTAACATCTTCGCACGAATTGGCCAGGTTCGCCCGGTGAAATACCACCACCACACAGAAAACAGGCGTGAAGTGGAAGCAATTCCGCGTTTCGTCTGATGAGTGTGCGT